CTCAGTGAGTGTGGTGTTCCCTTTCCTGCCGTTACTGCAGGCTCAGGGACACTTCTCTTGATGCTTTCTCCTGCCCTGGGATTCACAGTGACACCTCTCCTCTCCCTTCTCTTGCAGTCCACCCTGGCTGTGTGGGTGAAGTGGCCCCACCACTCCAGCACACCAATGCTGGCAGGAAGCAAGAGGCAGTTTGGGTCTGTTTGTCATCAGGACCCCAGGTATGTCCTGCCTAGCCCACCTGCCATCCTAGGGACACCAGGGCTGCTGGGACTGTCAAGTCAGAGGCATGGGGTCCCAGGCCACTTCACTGCAGTGTGTGCGTAGTGATGTCCTTACCTGCCCTTGTGGTGGCAGGGGAGCTGAGGCAGATTTTTCTGGGAGCCTCCCAGATCACAAACTTATTTGTGTTCCTGAAGTCTCTGTTGTTGGCTGCCCATGTGCACAGTGGTTTGTTCTCAGCTGCGGGTTCTTTTCCTGTCCTTCTGCTCCTTACCTGCTCGCTTTGCTCCCTGCATGGGCTGCTTTCCCATGGGATAGCAGCTACGTTCCCAGCACAGCTCTCCTGCAAAGCCCTGGCAGCCACCTTTGCCCTTAGCCACCACAGGCTGAGAGAGGGCTGAAACCAGCTGCAGGTCCATGTTTGGAGTTCCATTATGTCGTTGAGCAGCTGTGTGCTCTTTGTCAGCTGAAGCCGTGATCTCTGGTTGCAGGAAGTAAGCAGTAGCTTTGATCAGCACAGCTAACCTGAAGTAGTGTGTCACCAGCTCCTTGCCAGGGACAGAGGGGACCTATGGGAGCGTAGCTTGGGAGCAGGGACAGCGTGGTATGCTAGGAAAAGTCATTTCTCTAGGTGATCTTTGCTTCCTGTTGCTGCAGGGTGTGTGAGCAGCCAGCCTCGATGGAGCCACACGAGTGGCCAGACGACATCACCAAATGGCCGGTGAGCATCGCTGGTGGCACAGGGCCTGTGCTGGAAAATGGCATTTCCAACCCACTGCAGAGTTGCAGCAGTGTTGGTGGAAAGGGGTCTTCAGTGCAGCTTCCTGAAACCTTCCAACAACAGAAATTCCCACTGCACCAGATAAAGCCATAAGCCCTGCCAGGGTGATAGGATGATGGATACTTACTCCATCTAGGGGCTGTTTTAGTTGCTTGAGAGGGAGGAGGGATCGGTTTGGGCTCCAGCAGCCCAGGCAGATTGGGTATCAGAAGAAACCCTTGGGAGGCTGTGTCTGGGACTGCCTTCCTCCCAAGTGACTGTTCTGACCTTACCCAGGCAGCAAGCCAAAACATGGATCTCTGACTGCAGTCCGTTGTTGTTTTCCAGATCTGCACAAAAAACAGTGCTGGGAATTACACAAACCACCTTCACATGGACTGTGTGATTACAGGCAGGCCCTGCTGCATTGGGACCAAAGGAAGGTAAGGAGTTTAATCTGTGTGGCGAGGGGCTGGGCATTGGGGTAAGAAATGGAGGGCTGTTTTAAGGTTGTAGGCACAGCCATTTGTCCTCTGTGTTCTTCCTGCATGCAGCCCAGAGCAGTGCTGGGGAGGGGAGTCTGGCAGGGAGCCCTGATGTGTTTCCCAGGCAGAGCAGGGCTCTGGTTGAGTTTGATGTGTCAGGGTATCTCGTTCAACTGATCCTGCAGTTTAATGGGATTCGGAGCCCTGGGGATTAAAGTATCTCTTGGGGAATTCAGTGCTTTTCCTTGGAATGACCAGCTTGTTCCTAACAGGCTACACTGACCCCAGCCTGGCTTCTGTGTGCATTCCAAGAGGAAATGATCTGATCTGGGTTTGCCAAGGAGGATGCTGTTCTTCATGCTGCTCCTCAGCTCGAGTTACTTGGTGCTTGGGCCAGGCTTCCCCTGCCAGGAAGAAAAATCAGTGCTGCTGTCCCTGAAAGTCATGGCAGGACACGGCTTAGCCCTACTTTCTGCTCTGTCAGTGTCTGAGGCACAGGACTCTCCAAGCCCAGAGCCATAAATTCCCCAAGCTCCATTGTTTCATTCTCAGCTGTAAATAGCTCAGTTTTATTACTTGTTTTGGAACCTTTGTTGCAGAGGTGCTGTAGCATGTCGAGGGCATCAGTTCTCATAGACAAACTTAGGGGCCAGGGAGGACACAGGATAATCTGCCATGTCTTCCATGTGTGACTTGTTCCTTCTTTTGATTGCTGTGCCTCTTCCAGGTGTGAAATAACTTCCCGAGAGTATTGTGAATTTATGCGGGGCTACTTCCATGAGGAGGCAACACTTTGCTCTCAGGTAAGTGCAGAGTAGTGGTTTGTAAGGCCACCCTTCTCACTTCTGTTCACCTATCTGCAGCAGTGTGAGTGGGAGTGTTGAGTCCCAGAGGAAGTTGCTGATCCAGGATGTAGTGACAAAATCTGCATCTGTCCTTGGGAGACCAGTTTAGAACTTGGGGCTGGCAGCCACAAAAGTCCAGCATTGGACCACTGTGGAAGCAGCAGGTGTCTGCAACCTTCCTGCTCCGTGGGTGAGCAAACATTGTCCACGTGTTGAGTGGTGAATAAGGGCATAATGCTGCCATAAGTAATGGGTGGGGACACATGAAGTGGTGCTGCAGGCAAGGGCTGGATAGCAGATAAGTGAATGGAGAACCCCTTTTTCCGAGCTAGCTGCAGCCTCTGCTGTGGCTGTGATAATTGGCTGTGCCCAGTGGTGTTGGCTGGCACAGCCCACAGCCCCATTTTGCTGCCCTAGGTTCACTGCATGGATGACGTCTGTGGACTCCTCCCTTTCCTAAATCCAGAAGTCCCTGACCAGTTCTACCGTCTCTGGCTCTCACTTTTCCTACATGCTGGGTAAGTGTAGGTGCAAAGCTTCCAGTGTCTGGGAGGGAACTGGGGGGTTGTATGAGGGTGGTTCTAGCAGTTTCTGTCCTCAGGACACCACTGTGGGGATGAACTGTTGTCCCTGCTGAGGCTTAGCAGGCTGAATTTGCTGGGAGGGATATTAGATGCATGGGGCTGCGCCAGGTGCTTTCAGCAACTCAAAGAAGACAGCAGAGAAGACAGACAAGCCCACTGTGGGGAATTTGGTGGATGCTGCTTCAGCTCCTGTACTCTGAACTTGGCAGGATCCTGCACTGTCTGGTCTCAGTCTGTTTCCAAATGACGATCCTGCGGGACCTAGAGAAGCTGGCAGGATGGCATCGCATCTCTATCATCTACCTGCTCAGTGGCATCACTGGGAACCTTGCCAGTGCAATATTTCTACCCTACAGAGCAGAGGTGGGTCTCCTACACACTAGGGTCCTGGCAGCTTCAATACAAGCCCCTGCATGCCGTGCCTATCTGGCAGAAAAATCAGAGCTGCACTTATCTTTGTATTGTGCAGATTTGTAGTTAGCAGTCAACACCACACCATCATCTAGCTGCTGAGCAGTAACATCCCCCAGAGCACGCTAGTTGGCTTTCCAGGTGACTGACCCATTCTGGCTGCAGCCCAAGGGCTGCCTCACAGCATGAGATGGGGGAGATTCCAGCCACATGCAGGCTGGGAATTCAGGTCTATAGCTGGTGTCAGTCCCTTCACATGCAGGCAGAAGGTGAGAGCAAAGCTTGCCATTCCCACACTGTCCCTGCCCACATTGCACAGCTGGAGAAGCCCAATGTGCCCGCCCAGCTTTATCTTAGAAGACTGCATGGCAGGACCTAGAGGACCACCTTCCAGATCCTTCAGTAAGGAAAAGTGTGGTGGGTGAAGGGACCAAGGAGATTGCCTCTAAGGACCTCTACCCTCTAGTAGTTCAAACCAGATTCATACTCTTTAAATATAACATCTGCTCTGGTGAGCTCACATCTACACTGATCCTCATGTCAGACCAGGCCTTCAATGTCATTATCAGGATGAAGTCTCAGGCTGCAGCATCTCTTTCTCAAGTAACGCCGAACAGGGAGCTGAAATAACCCTAACGGAGCTGGTTGCAGAAGCCAGGCAGATGGGCTGTGCCTGATGTTACCTGTGATGTTCTTCTTCTGCAGGTTGGCCCTGCAGGATCCCAGTTTGGGATTCTGGCTTGTCTCTTTGTGGAGCTCTTCCAGAGTTGGCAAATCCTGGCACGGCCCTGGAGGGCTTTCTTCAAGTTGCTGGCTGTGGTGCTCTTTCTTTTTGCCTTCGGCCTCCTGCCTTGGATTGATAATTTTGCTCACATTTCAGGATTCATCAGTGGTTTCTTCCTCTCCTTTGCCTTCCTGCCCTACATTAGCTTTGGGAAGTTCGATTTGTATAGGAAGCGATGCCAAATTATTGTTTTCCAGCTCATCTTCATTGCACTCTTCTCAGGACTTGTGATTCTATTCTATTTCTACCCCATCAAGTGCGAGTGGTGCGAGTTCCTCACCTGTATACCATTCACGGACAAATTCTGCGAGAAATACGACCTGGATGCACAGCTTCACTGAAAGCAAAGACTGGCTTCTCGAGCAGGCACTGGAGATGGACTGTCTTTGCATTTGCTGTGCTAGTTCCACGAGGACAAAGCTTCTAATCCAGTGACACTTCTAACCAGGGCTGTGGTTAATTTAAACCGTCTCTAGCACTCAGCAGGCGTGGTTTGCCTTATCTCAGAAGACTCTGAACAGAATGTTGGTGCCTTGTTCAATTGTATTGAACCTCTTCTGCTGCCATTATTTTTATTATACTAGTTTCAATACTACATTTTTAACTAGAGTTATTTACTACTGCTAAGGTGGTGATTAAATAGAAAGGTAGCGTTTTAGCTACTGCTAATTGTTTTGCATAGTCTGTGGCTACGTTTGTTACTTTATGTCACCCATGCTGTTCCATGCACCAATAGAATCAGTATTCTAGCACCCAAAGTAGCCCGACACACATTCACAGCTGGAAATAAGAGCTTTAAAAGCCTCAGAAAATGAGTCTCTTTAATTACAAAAAGCACATTCTGCATACAGCTCAGAGGGAGACGTTTTGAACAGCAAAAACATGTAAGAGCATCTGTTCAACTGGAGTTTGCTTCTCTGTGAAATCTTTCAAACTCTTCCTCTTGGAGAGCACTGAATCCCTTATCTGATCCTGGCAGGAAGGGATTCTCTGTTCTGCCTGTTAAAGAAAAAGAAATATTTGGGAACAGCAGTGTTAACTGCATACTGGGCTCTCCTATCACTGCAGTACAGGGGATCAGCCAGGGCTCCATGGAGTAAAGCAGAGCTCTGCTGTCACAGCACATGTCGTATTGCACTAGGTGCTGCAAATATGATAGCACTGAAAGAGAATGAAAGCCTCTGTGGTCGCAGTGACAGTTTCTAACCCAGCTAGCTGGAGCCAGGGAACAGAACATTGAGAATGCAGGAAGTTACCACTGCTCTCAGCAACTGATTGTGGTGAGGGAGACAGTTTTAAACCTACTGAGGTTGGGAGTCTTGGCCACTGTATGTTTGTACTAGAATTGTGATGTCTACATGGACTGCACACAGGCAAATATATATGCTACTAATGCTTCCTGTGCTACAAGTTTTCTTCAGTGCATCAGCTGCACAAAATTACCATGACCAAAAGTCATCTAGAGGTATTATCCCACCTTCTGGAAACAGCAAATCAGCTGAACTCATTGCTATAAACCAGAAAAAAAAAGAAAAACTAAACAAAAAGCTACAGGGTACAGAAGCAGAGGTGCCTTTGGCAACTCCTTACAGCTTGCAGTAACTGAGAAAGATGGCTCAGAATACACCCAGTGAGGAACAGCAACCTTTGCTGGTTGCATTTGCTTGCATACAGCGATGGGACACTTCAGGTGCTCTGAATGGTACAGGAGTGTGAAGAGCAAAGAGGGAGAACAGTCACTTGGGTACAGTGAGACAGAGACATACAGGAGGATCAAATGAATTGCACGATGGCAATCAATCAGTGCTAGCACAGAGACCTGTTCTTCCTGGGCACTGGACTTCCAGAGTTCTGTAAAGCCTAAAACCAAGGTCCAAGAAGCAATTACAAGGGCAAAGAGAAGAACACTGCATTTAATGAATCTCAGGACACTGTGGGAACAAATTCAGAGCCTAAAATGCATAGCAGAGATAGGGATGCACCACTGCTAGCACCGAGGTACTGCTGCTGCTCCCGGTGTGGTTTGAACCACAGTTCCCTGCCCAGAGAGGAGCACAAGCAACAATCAGGATGAGGACATGGGAAAGAGCCAGGCTGGAGCCCAGCAGAGACACAGAAATGCTCACAGAGCTGCTCTGTGCTATCAGCCTGAGTGCTGTGGCTCTGGGAAGGCAAAGCTGAAGAACAAGTATTCCTAACGGGTATTCAGGACTTACCTGACAGGTCACTTTCGGAGTTTCTTGATGAAGCTGACCTCATCCCGGTTCCTGATGCCATACCTGAACAGAGTCGTGCCGTTACAGCCAGTTCTCCTCTAACCACAAACTGCAGTCCTACAGCTCCAGTTCCCAGGGCTGGATGGACTCCTAGTGTGCTCCACTCCCAAACAGGTGCAGTTCTCACACGTGCAAGCGGAACACTGTCTGCTACTCTGCCTTTGTAAACACACCATCTATCACCCACAGCAGAGAGGCTGCGGATGCCCCGTCCATCCCTGGAGGTGTTCAAGGCCAGGTTGGATGGAGCCCTGGGCAGCCTGGCCTGGTATTGAATGTGGAGGTTGGTGGCCCTACATGCGGCAGGGAGGTTGGAGACTCATGATCCTTGAGGTCCCTCCCAACCCAGGCCATTCTGTGACTCTGTGATAAGGCAGTGCTGCCTCGCTATGGGCTCTCCCTCCTGCTACGCCATATCCCTTCAGACAAGCTCCTCTTGCAGCTCTGCATAACAGCTGCTGGCATGCATTGATGCCTCCCACCTTCAGTACAGACACGGGGCTCAAAGCAGCCTCAGTCCCACCAAGCGCTCTCAGTTCCCGGGAGGCGGCCGGCCGCGCTTCACGTGCTCATCGCCGAGCCCACCGTGCACTCAGCTCCGACCGGCCAACCCTCAGCACCGCCCCGAGCTGCAGCTAACGGGGCACGGCACGGAAAACCCCCCCGTCGGCCGTTTACTCACTCTCTCAGCTTCTTTCCGTCATCCGCCAGCTTCTCCCCGTTGTAAGTCAGGTGGTACGTCCTCCAGATGTACTTCCTGCGGGAAAACGGCGGTGGGAGCGGGGCTGTGTATAGCCGGGGCTGCAGAGCCGTGCCGTGCCGAGCCGCTCACCAGCTGAGATGCTGCACACCGCCACGCCGCGCTTGCCGGAGCTGCACGTGCCGCCGCAGCGCCTTCTTTAGATCGAGCACCGTCGCGTTCTGCACCACCACCACAGCTGCGGGGAGAGACCCGCTCAGCGCCCGCGGCCCCGCAGCTCCCCGCCCCGTCCCCCGCCCCGCTCCGCTCACGCATGCTCTCGCCGTCCGCCTTGCACACTCGCACCGTCATGGCCTGCCCGTACTCCAGCGCCACTTGAGAGCCGATCTCCTCCGGCGTCACCTGCGGGCGGCACCGCGGGGCTGAGCTGCGCCGAGCCGCCTCTGAACCCCAACCCCAACCGCCACCCCGACCTGCGGCGGGAGGTCGCAGAGCAGCGGGTCCTGCACGAGCCGCGCCAGCGCCGCCTGGAACAGCTCGAGCACATCGGCGTGCGCCAGCTCCTCCTCCACCTCCGCCATCGCCGCCGGAAGAGGCGGATCCGACGATGTTGCTTTTCTGCCCGGCGTGCGGCAACGTGCTGGTGGCCGAGGAGGGGCCGCGCTGCCACCGCTTCGCCTGCACCACTTGTCCGTACGTGCGGAACGTCACGAGGAAGGTGCGCGGCAGCGGCGGGCGGGGTTGAGGAGGGGGCTTTGGGGGGGGGGGGGGGGGGGGGGGGGGAGGAGGGAGAGGAGCTGATCGCTGTGCCCGCAGGTGAGCAGCAGGAAATACCCGCGGCTGAAGGAGGTGGACGATGTGCTGGGCGGAGCGGCGGCGTGGGAGAACGTGGATTCCACCGCAGGTACGGGCGGGAAGGGGTTGCGTGGATGGGGGAAGGGGGGGAAGGGGGGGAAGGGGGGGGGGGGGGGGGGGGGCGGATCTCAGCTCACCGCCTCTCCCCGCAGAGCCGTGCCCCAAGTGCGAGCATCCCCGCGCCTACTTCATGCAGATCCAGACGCGCTCGGCCGACGAACCCATGACTACGTTCTATAAGTGCTGCAACGCGCAGTGCGGGCACCGCTGGCGCGACTGACCACCCCCTACCCCCCCCCCGACTATCAATAAACGCAGCGCTGGAGCTGCACTGTGAGGTGCGGTGGTTCCGTGGATCTGTGCTTAACCTTTGTTCTCACCTCAAACGTGCACAAAAGTATCAAAAAGAAAGGATAAAAAAACTTCCTTAATCCCAGAATGGCCAGGGTTGGAAGGGACCTCAAGGATCATGAAGCTCCAACCCTCTGCCACATGCAGGGCTACCAACCTCCCCATTTCATACCAGCCCAGGCTGCCCAGGGCTCCATCCAGCCTGGCCTTGAACACCTCCAGGGATGGACAGGGCATCCACAGCCTCTCTGGGCAGCTGTTCCAGCACCTCACCACTCTCTCTGTCAAGAACTTCCCTTGACATCCAACCTAAATCCTTCCTCCCTCAACTTAAAACCACTTTCCCTTGTCCTGCTGTTATCTCCCCTTTCAAAGAGTTGATTCCCTAGAAGAAGAACCGGAACATGACACGAGAGAGCAACAAGTTACAGCATTTAATCCATGTTAGCATCTAAGGGATAAATCAATTTAACAACATCCAGCTTTACCTCTTCTACACGTGGATAACCTGCACCCATTTGTTCCAGTTCACTGCAGTGGGGAACACCCCCCCCAGGCGCAGGGTGCAGTCCGTGGTGGGCTCATAGTATGCTACAGAGGCCTCGCTCAGTTTGGGACTGTGCAGCTGCTCTGCTATAAGTGGCTGAGAGAAGAGGGATGCTGGGGGTGCCTTCTTCATGTGGAACCTTCTGATACAACCAAGAGCTTCCAGACCCTGCGGAGAGAAACTGCATTTCAGCTTAAGCATCTGCAAAACAAACCAATATAGGCCATGCACTGCTGTTTCACGTTCAGTGTTGTCAGGACCTATACTTCGGATTTTGAATTATATTAGGACAAAAAACCCAGTACCAACAAGGTTTCAATGGGCAGTAGCAGTGGTGGTAATCAAACTCCCAGATGTGGAAGGAAAAAAAAAAAGAACCTCAAAATTTCTCACCATCTATTTATGTTAAGGATGTATGCCTTCAAGTGGGTTTTTTCCTAAACAAAATAATCTTAAGTTCAGGGGCTGAAGCAGCCTGAGGTCACAGTGCTGCTTATTCACATACCTGCAGGATCTCCAGGACAGCAACGGGCTGCAGTGTCCCTGTGTAATGCTGCAGCAGCATGCTTTCTGTTATCCCTGGCTTTGTCATGATGTGATACAGCACAGCTTCCATCATTCCTTTACACACAGGTTTGTTCAGGTTCCCATCCACAATCCTCCACGGTCTCCCAATGAAGCAGACATTCTCACAGGCCCTGCAAAAGACGGTTTAAAATCAGCTCTGCCAGCTGCTAGATCCAACCATGCACCTGATGTACCCCATGTCCCTCACAGCCACATGCCTCTTAAATACCTCCAGGGCTTTGGGCTGCTGCCCTGAGCCTTGTTTCACCTCTTCATCTGCACTAGCCCTAATATCCTCCAGAAGTTGCCTAAGACTTAACTTCAATCTGCAACGTGCAGCAACAGTGCTCAGACAGGAAACAATTCCTTATTTGTAGCATTCTGGAGGGAAAGGATTGCCCTGCATGGCAATCCACACTTCTCATACTGCTGAGATTCTCTGAGGCCTTTCCTGGGCACATGGAAGAGGGGACCTGCTGACACCTCACTTGTGAAATACAGTTAATGTCATTCCTCTGGTACTGCAGCTGGTTGTGGTATCAGTGTGTATATGAACACATGAGCAACTTTAACAAGAGCAATGGGGGAAAATGGGGTTCATCTTCCATGATCTCTGCCTATGGGAACGTACAACTGAGTTCACCAAAGCACTGGCTTCAGAAATTTCTCTGGCAATGGGGAGCATTCAGTCCCACTGCAGACATCTCTGTTACTCACCCATCTGCAGCTGCCTGGGACAGACCTGGCACAGAACTGCCTGGAAAGAAAAGAACATGCAGTTTTGAAGTTAATTAGCCCAAACTCTTTGGTGGATGTTAACTAACAGGTGGCTAAACTGTGAAAGGCAACAACTTGTGCTAGAAAATAACAGAACCAAGCTGTTGTTCTGGGTTGCATGGGGAGTTCCAAGATTCCACTCAGTCTTCACCCATCTCCAGCACAGCCCTTCTTCCCACACTGTTCTCAAAACCACATCTGGCTGCTCCAGCCACGCTTTTGGTGGTTCTGTTCCCAAATCATAGCAAGGAGTTTTATTTCTAGAAGCCTCGTTGCATGACAGAACAGCAGACAGTTCTGTGTTCCAAAGAACAAAGTTCCACAGAGGCTGCAGTGCAGGGGCTCCGCCAGCAGCGCTCACACAGGTCCTCAGCCGAGTCCCACAGGCAGTCACAGTGAGGCTGAGATGTCTGAGTAACTGCAGACTCAGGGCTTGAGAATGCAAACTCGAGATTTCAGCAGGATTTGGTTTCAAAATGAACGCTGCCTCTGCAACTTCCATGATCCTAATGGGTTTTAATTACACAATTACTTAACATTGGTACTTCTACTGCATCCAGAGGCCGACAGCTTTGGCTTAAGCATGTGTGAAACCTCCTGGGCATCACCAGTAATGCTGGTAAGAACTCTGTGCTTGTTAAGGGCTACGTTTTTATCCCCTCTATGTCACAGACAGGCAGAAGTTAAATCCTCAATAGTAGTTCTCAACATGAGACTGTTAAAGTTTATGCCACTTAGGCAGCCCTGAGGTGCTGTCCTGCAGGAAGGCTCTGACCAACACCCGACTCCAACTGATTCACACGGCAGACTGCAGCTGTAAATGCAGGGTAAGGGCAGCCTGTGGCCAAATGTCACACTGTGTGATTCAGTCTGAAATGAGAGCTGACAGAAATGAAACTAGAAGAAAATCCCCAACATCCTACTCAGTGTAAATCCTGGCGAGGATTATTAGCCGTTAAAAAAGAAAATTGGCAGCACAAAGGATGGGAAAATGAAGTCAGATTGGGTCACAAATTAGGCTATTAATCTTCTCACTGGCAGGTGCTGCATTCTGGTGAGTGGTTTAATGACTTTACGGCTTTTAGTCATGGGCATTCTAGTTAAAGCACAAGTTGTGCTGTGTTTTCTTGATTTAAAGATGTCAAGCCTTTGGACTGAAGCCAGAGATGGGAAAATTCATCTCAATATGTCTTTGGAGAATATTCAAAGACATGGAAATGGGTTTTTAAGGAAAGCACATTCCTGGACTAGTCCCAAACATTCCAGGAATAGGCACAGGAAGGAAACTTAGATGTATCTGAAACTTCCAATACCCTCCAGACCAATTAGTGTAAGGCTATGATGTCTGTGCGAAACAGAAACCTCCCTCAGTGCTCAGCTTCATGAAGGATCTAGTAAGTGCTTATAAAATACCACCTGGTTGGGTGGTGGTGATGAGGCAGGTACTGTTCCTCGGATGTAGAGCACTCCTACGTACCTTTAGAGACCTCTGGGTTCTCCTGCAATTGGGAAACATCATCATGCTGCTCTGTGGCAGAGTGTTCAAGGCCAAGGACATGCTTGTTGAGCTCAGGGCTGAGATCATCATTCCCTCCTTCAAGCTGTTTGTCCTCAGAACGTGGCATACCTGGATCCCTGGGCACATCCACACTGACAGTGTCTGAAGGGCCTTCAGCTGTATGTTCTGTCTGCTCTCCCAGGGACCCTGCTTCCCCATCCGGGATGGATTCCTTCATTGTAACAGGATCAGTAATATCTGCATCCAAGTTACTCTCATTTGCACTTAGCAAACCGCTCTGCAAACCCTGGCAGAGTTGGTCACCATCTTGAAGGCCATCATTTTGAGTCCTGCATCTCTTCCTTGGCGGTTCTCCATCACTGGGATGGTTTGTGTCTTCTCCCAGCTGCTCCTCCTCTCCTGAACATTCCTCTCCCTTCTTTGCTGCTGCCAGCAGGCAGTCCTGCTGCACCTCTGAGAGGGCTGTGTCAGCACACTGCTGACCAGAATCTTCGGGTTTATTCATTGGACACACTGAATGCAATAGCCACGGCTTGGCAAACACGATTGCAACCAGTCTTATGCTATTGCCTCCTACTTCTAAAACCTGCTGCATTTCAATCAGGTCCTATGGAAAACGAAACAAGAATTATCTCAGGAAGTTACACTGGAAAAATGTCAGTATAACCAAGTACTGTGGAACTGCCATCTTTAACTAGCAGCAAAGAAAGACAAATGGCTTAGTGGGATTTCAGTTTTATGCTCCGTTGTGTCCCTTAAGCTGTTCTGAAATTACAGCCCAAAACATTTTTGTTCAGCTTAAATTAATTTAAAATGTAACTGGGAAAGAGTTCTTTCCCCTCCAAAGGTGAATGTTGGTACCTCTGGGCTTCTGAAAAAGTTAATTCTTATCTGTGACTAAGTGTTGCTTTAATTTTTGGCCTTCCTAATTATGAGGCAAGACTGCTATCAGATTATTGCTACGTTAACTCTTGCCTAACAGGAATAGCTTTGTTCACTTTATATTAGCAAATACAACACGCAGCCTAAGAGACCGTTCTGTTCAAGGGGAATACCAGACATGGAGACATTAATGTAAGTCTGCTAAACCACCTGAATGTACTGCTGCAGGTTCCTGGTGCGTGCAGGTTCCTCCTCTTCATAGCTGCAGAACTGTTTGCCCAGCTCAGCTTTGCAAACCCCAAAGTGGGAAGCAGCCTCTATTGCATTACGGACCTCCAGCACAGCAGCTACATCTCTGGGATTGTAGCCATAGCGTTCTGTGCACTCACGAAGAAACTGATCAACGTTATAATTCTCTTCTTGGATTTTTATCAGCCTGGTAAAAGTTTTGGGAAGGGAGGAGACTCCCACAGCCATGTTGTCAAGCGGAGAAGAAACTGAAAAATCAAACGACAAACAAATGGTTAAGCAGAGATGCACTGTTACCATGCAACACACTATGGAAAGATAAATATTCAGACACAGATCAGAGGTGCTCTGGACCGTTCTGATTAAAAACAGAGCTCAGCTTTCCATGTTCGTTACTGCAGCTTCCTTCCTCCTCACATATTTGTGGCTGACAAGGCCTGCAGAA